CATAAAATGGTTTTTACTGTATTTGGAAAAATTCACCCGTTTGCCAGATGGATCAGAAGTAATATTTTTTCCAGAAGTGTCCATATGTTTTGAGACACACTAGCAAAGCCAAGCCCAGAAATGTCAATTTGCTAAAAGTAGGGCAAAACCACATTTTCTTCCTGGAGAAACTCAAGCTCTCAGAGAGTGGGGTTGGACGTGTCACTTTGGACCGTGTGGAGGCAGAGTTGCCATCTGGACACAGACTAGTAGCTCTGGAGAGGACACTACCCCGCCTCTGGACCTTCCAGAACTCGGCTCTCCACAAGGTCCTGGCCTTCTTGTGATGACATTGGGAGATGTAAATAAATACTGGCTTGTCATCCATCAGAGGCCGACACATTTTGAAAAGTGCTGGGTGGTTTTGCGCTCTGAGAATCTCATGTTGGGAGCAAAGAGCAAACTTGTCACTCTGAAACCAGAGTCCTGAAAACAGAGGGACTTGCTGACTCTGGGAATATAGACAATTCACCCAGCCAAGTCCCTGAGCTCTGTAGTGAGGGCTCCTTCTTCATCTCCTTAAATCAAAGTTCTTTCAAAAGTGCATTTGAGAATTTGCTTCTGAGTCTGAAAGTCTGTCTTTATCCAGGCCAGGCTTTCACAGTGAAACCTAAGCAATCAGCGGTTGGAGACGGGGGGCGGGGGGACACATCAATTATTTATAAGTTCCTTGAATCATCTGGTGGTGATGGGGAATTTCCAGGTGCTGAGCACGACGTGCAGAGATCACCGGGTGATTGTCGTGCCAACCATCAGGGTCTGAAAACCTTCACAGCCTGATCAAAGCAAAGGCGCTGTCAGGTTCCGCTGGTGGCACATGAGCAGCCAGGTATCCCCTGTGTTCACTGGCCAAAGGCTCGTCAAGCGAAAGGCTGGCCACACTCAGTATGCTCTACTGAGCTGAATCCCGATATCCACCGGGCAAGCCACCCAGCCCTTCATCTCCAGGAGCTAACGTTCATTCCCCTGATGAAAACAACAGCTTGCATTTTAGAAAGTATTTTGCAACGAACATTTTACGCAGAGATCTGAGATCTTAATATTGCAGCATTGTTTCTTGTACATGGAGAAGGCCAAGGAGGTGAGCTCCCTCCTGCCATTCTTTGGATTGTGGGAAAGTCCTTACCATGTCAGAATGTCTTAAGGCTATCGGTGTAAAGCAATTGCTAAGGACCCTCGTGAAGCAAATTGTCAACACCTTTGGTGGGTATAAATCCACACTGTTACAGAGCAAAGCACATGGAATTACTTAATTAAACTGAGCCACTCATTAACAGACGTGAGGCATCTGACTCCAAAGACACAAGTTAGGTGAGAGCTGAAACTTTTTGAATACAAGGAACAGTAAGGAAACCTAGGCTAGTCCCAGGGCACAGATACAAATAGAGACATCTGTCAAAGGGGCGTTCCCTCTCACTTCACACAGAGAGCTCTGCCATCCCTCTCATTTCTCTTTGTTTCTGTTGCCTCCTCTCCAGTCTCCCCTCCTTGTTTGGAAATTAATCTCTTTTAAGAAAGGAAATCTTTGACACCTAATAAACTGATTTAGTAATTCCCTAATGGGCCAAATTCCATTTTCACATGCATCTTCTGAGCTCTCCTCTCGGTTTCTAGAAAGAAACCAAAGGGGTGAGGAAGCAATCACGTTCAGCAATGGTGTCCTGCCATAGCCCAGAGCAGGGTCAGAAGGAATGGCCGTTGCAGGCAGAGCCAGGCCACACACAACCCATCATACAACATCAGGAAGAGTGCTCACTGCCACTGCCTCTCACAGTGACAGACAGACCCACACTGCAGCCCAGCACACACAGTGTCAGGAGGAGGAGCCATCCAGCCTACCACATTGGCAAACACGTGGGAGCTCTAGACCCATCAGTAATCTCAGGCCTGTCTCAGACACAGAGGGAAACATGTCCTCGGAGGATGTGTGTGAGGCCCTGTCCTCCCTGTTCCTCGAGGCCAAAACACAGGATGCAAGTAATGTTTACACTAACCAGCTAAGCTTCCTGTTAAGTGCTTGCTTCTGCTACAGCCTGGTGCAATAGCCTGAGGGGTCTATTTTACTTTAAAATGGTAATTTCTCAACCTGCCTGAAAGAAGCTCAGGCACCAAGGCCCATCTACCCTTTCTGACACTGCCTTGCACCCTCGACCACCTGCCTGCGAAGAAGTTCCCACAGGCGCCAGTTTCCCCAGCCCCCTCTGGTGGGAGGAGGTTTCCTTTACTGGGGCCAAAAGTATTTAACCCTGGATTAAGTTGAATAAATTGGGCATTCTCTTCTTGAGGATGACTGGAACTCTGTATCTGTGTGTGTGTGCATCTTGTGTTTTAACCCCTAGGACAATATGGAACTCGTGGGAGGTGGGTGGCGTGGACCGGTGACCCCCACAGATGTGTGCAGTTTGTCTCTGTATTTGCTGGCCAAACATCAGTCGCATAACAGATTGTTTTAAAAAATGGTGGTGGGGGTGTATTTTAAAAGAGGTAAATGGTCAGTGTAAAACTTAAAATAATTTCACCTGGGTGGGGAGAGGATGGAGAGAGAGGAGACATGTAGGAAAATAAATAGCCAAGACCTCAGAGGTACAGAGACGTTCTGCACCACAGTCTCCGTGCTGGCACACGGACGCCTTGGCTTGGTTCGCAAACTCTACATGTGTGTTCTCTTACACATGAAATATAAGATAAAATATTAAATCACAAGCAATAAAAACATCAGAGAGATCTAGCTGGGTGTGATTGTACTTGCCAGGACTTGGAAAATCGAGTCAGGGTTTAAGCCCGGCCTATATTACCTGAGACTCCTTTTCTAAAATTGTAAGTATTTAACTATATTTATTGTTACTTTTCATCTTTTAAAGACTTATCTCATTATATGGGCCAGCCTGACCTGGAATTCACAATCTTCCTACCTCAATTTCCCAACTACTATGATTACAGGCATGCAGCATCACTTCCCCATGAAGGCCTGAACTGGCTTGTCACTATAATCAGATTGATGAATACCCCAACTATCAGCATGGAGCCTTCATCCAGCAACTGATGGAACCAGATGCAGAGATCCACAACCAAGCACCAGGCTGAGCTCTGGGAATCCAGTCGAAGAGAGGGAGGAGGGAATATCTGAGCAAGGGAGGTCAAGATCCTGATGGAGAAGCCTACAGAGACAGCTGAGCCAAGCTCATGGAAACTCAGGGACTCTAGACCAACAGCTGTGGAGCCTCCATGGGACTGAACTAGGCTCTCCATATATGGGAGTCAGTGGTGAAGCTTGGACTATCTGAGGGGCCCCGGGAAGTAGGACCAGGATCTAACCCTAGTGCATGAGCTAGCTTGTTGGTGCCATTTCCCATAGTCAGATGTCATGCTCAGCCTTAATGCAGGGGAAGGGGCTCAGTCCTACCCTAACTTAATGTGCCAGACTTTGTTGACTCCCCATGGGAGCCCTTACCCATTGGGAAGAGGGGGTAGGAATAGGCTGGAGGGGAGGGGGCAGGAGGAGGGATGAGAGGGAGAACTATTACAATGTAAAGAAAAATAATATATACGTATATATTTCTACGTATTTTTTTAAAGTAAACTAATGTTCATAGGATATTCAGCATAGAGCTGAGAGACTGTTTCAGGATTGAGGAGTAGACTGTTTCCTATACAGCCCTGAAGGCTTGGGTTCAATTCCCAGGACTCACACAAAAGCTGAGCATGATGTTATATCTTTAATCCCAGCTCCGAGAGGGTGGAGATAGACAAATGCTAGAGAGTAGCTGGCCAGTAAGTCCAGAGGAAGCAGTGAGCTCCAGGGGGAGACCCTGTCTCAAAAGTAAGGTAGAGAATGAGACAAGGATCCAACATCAATATCTAGCCTCCACACACTTACACAGGTGCTTGTGCAACTGCACACACATATATACATCAGGCACATGCAGACACATACATGCACATGTGCATGCATCATATACATACATGCATATATGTACACTGCATAATACATTCTCACATGCATACACCACACACATGTATACAACACACATACATGCACACAGGCATGCATACATGTATCCCAGGTGTGTGTACAAACGTTAAAAGACCACAGTGCTGGTCTTTACCTTTCACCTAGAGACGGGGCCTCTTGTCAACTGCTCTGTGCACCCGGCTAGCTGGCCAGCATGCTTCTGGGAATTCTTTTATCTCTATCTGTCATCTTTCTGTTGAAATGCTGAGATTATGGGTTTGCACACCATCTCCAGCCTTGACTAGCAGAAAGGGTCTGAATCTGAACTCAAGTCCTACTTACAAGGCAAGGCCAGTGGATTGCTCACTGATCTAGCTCCTCAGTTCCCTATTCTATATATGTTAGAGTTGTAGGTGAGTCTGGTAAAATTACTTTTTACAGGTTTCTAAGACTATAATGTGTTCCCTAATTTGCTAGCCAGTCTTGGATTGGTGTTACTAAATATAGGTGTAACATCTGCATACCAGAACTGTATTGCTTTAACAGTATGCAGAGAAGAACCCAAACATAACGATGCTGTAATTTATATCTTACAACCAATTTACTTACAGAGTTCAAGGAGAAAATAGCCATTTATACTTCCACGCGTTTACTGTTCTGATGTTCTTTCCAACGGCCCCTGTTTGTACCTATTGTAACCCCTCAGCCCAAGTGATGGCTGTGACCACGTATCAGAGCACAGGTTCACTGGGAAGAAATGATCTGTTTATGTTATCTGGAAATAATTTTCACTCTTTCATTTTGGAGGAATAGCTTTTCTGGTTTCATTCTGCAGACCTTAGGAGAAGCTCTTTTAGTGATTTAGTCTCTGCCTATATTTAGATTCTAGACTTTTCATTTTTGCTGTGCCAGGGTGTGGACATCTTTGTATGAGGTCCATTTGGGATTGCCATCTTGTTCTTAAGGTTCTTTGCTCATCAACTTAGGGAAACTTCTCTTCTCTCTTCAGCTGGCATCTGCTTCATCTCCTCTGTCCTTCTGAGACCAGGCAACGCATCTGCTAGACTCTTGGCACTGACGTACTGGTAAGTTTGTATTGATGTGCTTTTATCCTGAGTGTCTGTCAACGGATTTTCAAATACCATCCTCCAGCATTCCCCACTTTGTTTTAAATCTCTTTAGCATGTTTTATCATTTGTTAAGTTTTATCTAGAGATTCCCTCGATTCCTTCTCAATTCCTTCTCTCTGCACTTTTGACTATTCACTCCCAACCTTCATTTTATCTTGTAGTTTTCTTCAAATGCATAATAATTTGTAAATCTTGTTACTACCTACAATTCTGGAGAATTAAAGCCATTTTGTAGGTGTCTTTTTCTCCTGGTGAACCCACCTTCCTTTGTATGTCTCAGACTTTTAAATGGCATTAGAAACACTGCACATGGATGGGTATTAGGTATGAAACACACCCACATTTTATTTTAGTATTTACTTGCTCTTGGAGAACAAAAGCTCTTTTCTGGATCTAATCAAGAAGATGAAGAAATGGCTACTTGGGTGTTACCAAAAGCCACAATGAAGAAAGGCTACATAAACCTTGCCTTGTCAAGAGCAGGCCCCACTGTGCTTGGCTCAGCCTCAGTGCCCTGTACCTCCCCTGAAGTCACACTGTCCTACTGCCTTTGAAGTACACCATGGCAGAGGTGTGTGCTGGGACCAGCCTCAGCAGTCCCCCCCCACCGAAGGTGCAGTGGAGAGGGTGTGTGCACTAAGGCCAGCCGCAGCACCAATGGGTACATCCACTTACTATATATGCATATCTGACCCAGGAGGCTGGATTCAGGCCCTCAATTCCAAGCACCATGAAGATAAGACAGATAGCAAATTCTACTTTTCAGCTCCCACATCACTGCCTTTTAAAAAAAAATTAAAATTGGTGTTGTACCAAGGATAATTTTCAAAATAAACAAGATGTTATTTCGTTTGGTGATCTTCCAGCCTGCACCATCATCATTATGTCCAAAACTGCTAACAGCCTGGCTGAGCTCACCCTGACCTTGTAGAGTCTACTCCTGCTGGCATGTTGTCCTCTCCAGAGCCTAAGACTGAGAGGCCTGGGCTTTGTCCCCAGGAGACTCCATGATATTCTGACCTCTGCCAAAGGCCTCCGTCTCCTCTTCCTCCTCCTCATGTATCTCAAGCTGGATTCAAATTCACTCTATAGCCAAAGGTGACCTTGAACTTCTGACCCTTGAAGGCATCACTAACCCCAGTTTGAGGTGGTCCTGGCAGCGAACCGAGGACTTTGCATATCCCCAGATCCCCAAAGGTTGCTTTCCTCTGAGATAGTTCCACAATGCCTTCTCTCGTCCCAAATACTATTACAGATAATAATTTTTATATCTACTTTTCTTTTATATTTTCTTTCATAGTTGTATGATCACAGTTAGAATCTAACATTTTAATGTCCATAATTTTAAAAAGTCAGTCCAAGAACTTATACTCACATTGGAATCTTTATGTAAAAGGAGTTGATCACAGTCAGATGTAGCCAATGCTTTCAGGACCCTGCTGCGCGCTGAGCAAGTCGTAATGAGCGTTGAAAGGCGGGCCCTGTTCATTGTTAGCAGCTCTGGAATCTGCGAGTCTGGCATGTGATAACAGACAGTGTGGTCACTAATAAAACAGGTTCAAAATGATTCTGTGTCAGCGTTTACTGGGGCAAATGTGGCTGACTAACTCAGTAATGAAGTTAACATGGTGATTAGTGCAAGGTTTGATTCTACCCCATGGAGGCCAATTAGCTTTCTTCCCTGAGCCCACACACGGCAGTCTCCTGCTTCCCATGGTCTTGCCTGACGCTTTACAGGAGCACGTTATTGAGAGACAGAATTTGAATACACAGCACAAATCCATGTGTGATCCATGTCTCTTATGCCATGTCTACTGTACTTTAATTCTGGGCTGCAGAAATGGCTCAACAGGAAGTGGCTTTTGCTGTGCAAACCTGACAACCTCAGGTTCCTAGGTAAATGACTCCAACATGTTCTGTGACCGCCACACATCCCTGTGTCAGGTACACAGATTCAAGGCTTTGAGCTATAGAATGACTTCAGGGTAAATCTGGTCAACTTAGTAAGACCCTGTAAGGGATAGAGTGCTTGCCTATATGTGTGTGGCCCTAAATTCAATCCAGTACTGACAAAGGAGGAGGAAGAGAAATCTGAGCAGATGCTAAAATTGATACTTGCTTAAATCAGGGTAGGAGTTTGGCATTCCTTTCAAGCTTGCAGAGAAACCAGGGTGGGCTATATATCTCATCTGGGACTGCTTGAGAAACCAAATAAATGATTTACAAAGACACTGACTGACTTTAGAAACTGCTGTAAGTTTCCATCAAGATTTTTTTCTATGATTTATTTTTATTTCCATAATTATGCTCTGATGTGTGTGTGCATGTGTGCATACACGTGTGTATGTGCACACGTGTATGTCCACTGTGCACATAAAAGCATGTGCCCTTGAAGGTGAGAAGATGGAGCTGATTCTCTGGAGCTGGAGTCACAGGCAGTGAGTTGCCTCAGGTGGGTTCTGAGAACTCAGCTTGAATCCTCTGGAATGGGGGACTGGGGTGCTGGAAGGGCATGATGCACTCTTGACCACTGAGTCAACTCTCCGGCCCCTACCTTTTCAAACCCAGTAACATCGAGCATTTTTCTCTTGTCCCTCTTCACATGCATATAGGTGTGCACATACAAACACACACACTTATACACATGATTCTAATTTGAGTGAAAATTTCCCCTGTTAGAACCAACACTAAAGAGATCACAAACATTTTGTGCAGACATATTTGAAAAATGCCTCCAAGATTTAGATAGAAAATAACTGTGAACATTCCTTACAAAGTAACAGACCTTAGGTCAGACTGTTTAAAACTGGCTCTGCAGAGACTTGAGATCAGGGTGCAATGGCCACACCCCCTCCCAGAAACTGTTTCCAGAACTGAGAATCAGAAGCCAGACCGTGACCTCCTTATCTTCTCCCACTGAGTCATTTCTTGCTTTAGCTTCATTCTCTTAGAATTTTTGATTTGTTTTCTTTAATTTAGTTTAACTTCGTTTGGTTTTATATTTTCTATGATCACAGTCCTCTGTCACATCAAAGTTCCAATTGCTGAAGTGGTGCAGTGCTGTGGCCCCTGCTGGCTGGTGACAAACAGTCTTCATAATTCTGATGGTTGGAGGAGAATTCTCTGTTTAATAATCTCATTATTCTATGTCCTTTCCCCATCAGAGATGGAGAGCAAGGAAAGATATCTTGATTGATGGAGCCATTATGAGGCTAGCAAGAAACCTGGCACTAGGAATTCACAAGAATGACCCCAGCTAAGACCCTAAGTTACTAGAGGAGAGGGTGCCTGAATTGGCCTTGTCCTATAGCCAGAATGATTAATATTTTGAATGTCACCATAGAATCTTCATCCAGCAACTGATGGAAACAGAGGCAGAGACTCACAGCAGAGCCCTGGACTGAGCTCCCAAAGTCCAGCTGAAGACTGGGAGGAGGGAGAATATGAGCAAAGATGTAAGACCATGATGGGAACATCCACTGAAACAGCTTACCTGAGGTAATGGAAGCCCGCCAACTCCAGCCTGATAGGGAAGGAACAAGCATAGGACCAATCTAGGCCCTCTGAATGTGGGTGACAGTTGTATGGCTGGGCAGACTGTGGGGCTTGTACTGGTTTTTGGAACACATTCTCTTTGGAGAGATACCTTGCTCATCCTAGATGGAGTGGGGAGGTCCTTGGTCCTGCTTCAGAGCAATGCTTTAGACTTCGTTCCATTAGAAGCCTTACCCTCTCTGAGGATCGGATGGGGGTGGGGAAGGGGAAGGTGGGGTGAAAAGTGGATGGAATGTGAGTGGGAACTGGTATTGGTATGTAAAATGAGAAAAGATAATTTTTTAAAAAATAAATTAATTAATTAAAATAAAATAAAAACAAAATATAAAAACTTTTTATTCTGGGAGATAAAACAATAAATTTTGCCCATGTATTGCAAAGGACGGGAAAGAGAGTGGTTTCTGTATAGCAGGATACGACTGGTTATTATTTAGAATAGTTCCATGACGGACACATTGCATGTTACTCCTGAAAAATTGCAGCTCCTATGGGCAAACTGGCTCAAGAAATATATTCTACAAGATAAGAACTGAAATTTATAGGTTGTGGAGAAGAGTGTTGGGGAAAGTGAAAGGTGAAGACTTGCATTTCCTGTACAAAAGAGAGGTAGAAAAAGGCTATTCTAGGAGCAAAGATGTCTACCAGTCAAAACAAGTACATTCTACTTTAATGAGTGGCTTGGATACACTCTAACATAAGCATCTGAGAGTTTGTGGTGAGTATATGTGTAGTGGTCTGTCCTGTCCCTTTAAGAGACAAGTCCCGCCCTCTCTCCCCATCTACCACCTAGGAGGAGGGGGAATCTTCCTTCCTTCTGCTTCCAGTCTGAGCTCTCTCCCTTTCTGTCTCTCTCCCAAGGAGGCAGCTGCTGCCATTGGCTCCTCTCCTTTCCCCCTGCCTCTCTCTCTGCTCTTCTCCCTTCTCCCCTTCCCTTCCATAACCCACTAAATAAATATCCAACCTCACTCTGCATGGCATGCCTCTCCATCTCGGTCTCTCAACTGCTGCATGGCTCCCTGCCCCCTGCCTGCCACTGCTCAGAGACTTGCAGTGTGGTCTCATGGCCCACTGCCCACTGCTTCTGCTTGGGACCTGCAGCATTTTTGTCATTGTATCCCTCAGGAACCTGCAGCATTTTATTAGAACATAACAATATGTTACAGAGGTGCTGTGGGCCATGGCAGAGAAGCAATCAGCTGCAACGGGAGTTCCAGGTGTCAGCCCACCAGAAGGGAATCCTCTGATGGGTCAATCTCGTTTAGGCAAGGTCACGGAATGTCTTTTGCTTCTGCTGTGCCTTTCCATGTTTTCTGCGGCTCTCTTTCTCTGGTATCTAGCATGGTGTGAGTGGACGTGGGGAGATCTCCACTGCCTGTATTATGGTGTGTTTATTTCTTGAAAACATCCCGTTCTCCTGGTCATTTTTACCTGTGGACTGTCCAGAAGATGACCCCCCCAAGCTGTGCTGTCTAATTTGATAATAAAAATGATAGCTTATACAGAGTTTTGATGAATAAAAATAAATACAAGGATATGTTTCACAGCTGGGGTCTGTGACTCTTACCTGAGGACCTGCATGGATTGCAACTCAAGTTAATGATGAACAACTGAGTCCCAATAACCCAGCTAGTTTAAATTCTTTTAACCTTAATGTTGGGAGATGTGCTCACAGGTCTCAGAGTGCATCACAGCTGAAACAAAGCTTTGAAAATAACGAAGTTAGACTAAGATGTTTTGTTAAATAACTCTGAGGTAAAAAATCCAAGAAGACAATCTAAAGTTTTAGAAAGGCACAGAGTTGAATGAGGAACTCTTTAAGGTCAGGGAACAAGAACAAAGCAGCCCAATTATTACTGACTGACATGCTCTACTTGCTAGGTTTGGTTGATGACCAAAGGTGATGATTAATTCACCATTTCTGTCCTCAATTTCCTGATGTTAAAAAAAACTATTAATGAATGTATATGTGCCCCGCGCTCGGCCTCGCCAGCAAGAACGACGCGGGACACTTAGGATTCTTCTGCAGTAAAGCTTTATGCGTCTTGAGAGGGAGAGCATAAGCTTACATGGCGGAGACCCAGAATGAGGGGAACCCAGCCCTGATAAAGGAAACAGTCCTCGCTTCTGACGTGTCACTCTTGGATTGGTCCGCTGCCCATTATCCCAGATGATGCCTCGGAAGTAGGCAGGGACGCAGTGGTAGAGAGTTACCAAGCACATGCGCTGGGATTAAAGGTGTGTGCTACAATACCTTGAACTCACAGAGATCTGCCTGTCTCTGCTTCCCAGGCATTGGGACCAAAGGCGTGTACTACCACACCTTGGGGTCACAGAGGTCAATCTCTACCTTTGTTCCTAGAAGCAATGGAGAATGTGGTCCGGCCCTCCACATATATGTACCCTAAAGATTTAAAGCAGAGATATAAAAGTTTAGGCTTATGTTTTCTTTAAGATTCCTTTTAAGATTACCTTTCGAGATAAGTAATAAAGTAATTGGCCCTCTCTGTGTAACTGCAAAATATAGTCTGTCAGTAAAAGACCTGACAAGAACAGATTGTTTGCCACATGGTTAATCTATAATAAGTTGCTTGGGCATGAATGTGTGTGGGTTCTTGGGATAATTTGTCTTTCACCTGTAACACATAAAATGTTTAATCATGTGAGCGAGATGAAAAACATCTTTTTCCCTATAATCATTCGCTTAAGAAATGGAATGCAACTGTTTTGATTCTTGTACTGCCTGGGAGAGTCTGTTGGGGTCTAAAAGCTGTAGCACAACATGAGATAGAAGAGAGGGTATATAGAGAGAATAAAGAATAATAATAATAGAGAAGAAAAACATCAAGAGAGTTTTTGAGTGCCCTTTTCCCTGACCCACCTCAGATAGAAAAGTTTAGCCTCGCCAATGCCATGGATTCCTATCAAAGCCCTGTGGGTGCCTCAGACAGCAGTCCAGAGGAAGGTAGAGGAAGATGAGGCTTGTGAAAAGGTGGGAGATGTTGTCTTAGACAAGGTTCTATTGTTGTAATGAGACACCATGACCACAGCAACTTTTATAAAGAAAAAACATTTAACTGGGAATGGCTTACAGTTTAGAGGTTCAGTCCATTGTCATCATAGCAGGGAGTCTGACAGCGTGCAGGCAGACACGGTGCTGGAGAAGGAGCTGAGAGTTCTACATCTGCATCAGTAAACAGCAGGTGAGTCACTGGGTCTGGCTTGAGCTTCTGAAATCTCAAAACCCAGCCCCCGTGACAGACGTCCTCCTATAAGGCCACACCTCCTGGCGCCTCTTCCTAATGATCAAGCATTCAAATATATGAGTCTGTGGGGTCTGTATGAGTCATTCCTATTTAAGCCACCACAGTTGTACAGAGAGGAGTCTGAGTAAAGACACTTTTGTAAATAATTACCAAGCATCCAATTGTAGAGAAAACAAAATCTGATCAAGGGATTCTGAAATATCAAAAAGCACGGAAGAGCTGGTGTTTGTGTTTGGGAGGGATGAGGCGGATGAGGCCAAGAGGCCCTTGGTGCCAGGTGAATGAGATATCACTTCATCCTGAAGCTCCCAGGAACTACTAAATGCGTTAGTGAGAAGCGCTGGGTAGATTAGCAATCTGGCAGATCTTGGGGCTATGCTCCCAGAATGCCATTTAAGGAAGGCTATTTGGGAGTTGGGAGCCTCGTTGGGAGGTTGTTGATTTTCCTAAACATCATAAAAACTTACGTTATGGTAAAGATGTGATACTAGACAGACAGAGAACATAAAATTATAAAACTGGAAGCCTGGGGCTGTAGCGTGGTGGTATAGCATCGCCTAATACACACAAAGCCTTTGATTTGATCTCAGTCCTGAAAGAGAGTGGAGTGGGTGGGTGGGGGATTAATAATGCATATGGCCTATAGAGGTTAAGGAAATATTCACTGATAACTTATTCATGTGGCATCTGTGTCATAAGATTTACACAGATGTGATTCTCTAGATCTGTATTTAGGGATGCCATCACCAAGGGAATGTAGGAACCACGTATCTGTGGGTCCTGAAAAGTCCCAAGAGCATCCGATGCATGAAGTACTCTTAGTAGCTGTATGCTGGGTAATTTCCTCAGATATCCACACGTAGTAATTCGGTTATTCTGCTTAGATAAAATAATATTACCATCTTTGTTAGTTACTATAGCTGTGATGAAATACCTCAGCCCTAAACAACTTGGGCAGAATAAGGGTTATTTGTCTTGTACTTCCACATGGCTACTCATTATAGCAGGGCAGGAACCTGGAGGCAGGAGCTGCTGCAGAGACCATGGAGGGGTGCTGCTTACTGGTTTGCTCCCCATGGCTTGCTCAGCCTGCTTTCTTAAAGAACCCAGGGCCACCTTCCCAGGGATGGCCCCACCCACAATGGGCTGAGCCCTCCCCCATTAATCATTAATTAAAAAAATGTCCCGCAGGCCTGCCTACAGCCTGATCTTATGGAGGGATTCTCTCAATTGAGGCTCTCTCCTCTCAATTGTGTCAAGGTAGCATAAAACTACTCAACACAGCTACTTCCCTCAGACAGGGGTGAGAGGTGTAACACAATTGTCTGTCTGGGTGATAGTAAAAATACAGCTGGATGTCAGGAGACCCTGAAGCTTAGGAAGGTGTTCTTGGAGTTCTGGGGTATGGATGTGTGATCAGAACACAGGTCACAGGAACACATAGTGCGGTGTGGCTAATGGATGATGGGGTAAGAATCCCAGCCTGCTGGGCTCACTCCTTCAACCCATTTTCTGGAGGTCTCTGGTGGGAAGGTGCCAGAATTAAGGTCATAAGCCTTGGAAACACAAAATAGATGAAATTTCTCTCTACTTCTATCATATATATATAATCTAAATAAAAAATTCACAAGTTATTTCTTGAAGGCAAAGTTAGAAGCACCTGCTGCCAACCTGGGGCCT